TTACTGGGGTCTTGGCCTAACCGGAGCTGCCCACACCCTCGTCATTACGATTCAAACAAGCTCAGCTGCCCTACCGTGTCCTTCACCTTCGCCAGTACGCCCTCGTCTTTGCGTTCGTGGGCCATCGAGTTTGGGGAAATGAACCATTGCAACCAACCCAACCATTTCGACCACCCCCACCACCCCCAACGACTCGACGTCGTTGGACAATGCACGACACACACCCGTATGCACGACGCACTCTACGGCGGCGGGTTGGGATGGCACGTCCGCTGGCCATTTAGTTTCTCATGTTTCCTTGAACAAGCCCTAGGAGGCTGCTTTGTTCATTGGCAAGGTCGGACTACAACCGAGTCAGTTGTCACCCCCATCACACATGCCATTGTTTCGACGGCATTGTCGTCGGCGAGTGCACGACAGGACGAGCCACAGATTCCACTTTAGAGTTCGTTGCTCCGCTAGTTCGCAGAACGGAAGTACTTGATTCACGACACAATGCAATGCTATTAGCAGGGGTACTTTTGACGTGCATCCTGCTCCTCCGACATCTCGGACTCTGTCTCGACGTGGCGCTTGTCCACGTCGTCGACCTTGTCCTTGACCACCTTGGCACGTTCCTTCAGCTACCGGGGAGAGTGAGTTTCTCCGAGACCTTCCAAACCACCTCCACATTGCCCCGGCTCGTACGTACCGAATCTTTCACGTCCGACGCGGTTTCCATGACTGCGTCGCGGGCCGACGCTGCTTTATCTTTCAAAACGTCGTAGAGCTCGGCCACTTTTTCACGCATCTTTTCCTCTTGCCGCTCCAAGTCGCTTTTCGACGCGTCGTCTTGCCAGTGAGGTCGTCGGTGCTCTCCCCTCCCCTCGTCCATCGTGTCTTCGTGATCAAACTGGTACTTGGCAGCAAACGGGGATGTTCGGTCGCTGTGGCCCGTCAACCCACTGCGTTTCGATCCGCCAAAGCCAGCCGACGTCTTCACTGTGTGGGTCTCGTACCCGCTTTGCATCGGCCCCGAGGGGTTATGAGGGTCTTGCCCAAACGAATGCTTGAGCTGGTCATCTCGATTGAGGAAACGCCGGTGATGGCTGCATGTGACGTACTGTGTCTTTGACCTTTTCGAGCCACCCCTTGTCAGTCCTTTCATCCGCCATCACGTTCAAGAATGAAGTTGGCTGTCAAGAGCCGCCCCTCCAACTGCCTCATGTAGTTGGACAATCGTCCCGCGGCTGGCAACATGGAATGATTCGAGTGCCAGCGCGGCTTCACGCATGCATGAGATACTGCTTGGCAAAGCACGAACTGTCCAAGCACGTACTTTGTGGACGGTATCAGCGTGGCGACAAGTTCCAGCCAACTTTGGACGGAGCTGAATCCTTCAAGCATTTTTATATGATGCATGCAGCTTCCTCCACTTCATCGTACGTCATGGTCCCATTGAGTCTTCTTGCCATGTTGTTTTCGTGGGGGGTCTCCTAACGTTATGCGCTACTGGAACTACCACTTGATGCCAAATGGATTCGCCAGCTCCATCTTTGGCACAGCATGATACCGCGTATGCAGCACCAATTGCGCTTTGGATGAAAACACGCAGCCGTCCAAGTACGTGTCGTACACATGGGAGACGGCGGGGTTCGCCCCGACGTCGCGGAATGTCGTGCCTCGGAAAGCAGTGTCGACTTTGTCGACAAGCGCCTTGTTGGCCGCAGGGGTTGCAGGCTTGATCTGCCCACCTCCGTTTAAACATCCCCCTACGTCCACGTCAGGTCTTTTGCTGGCCGGACCTTCCACGGCCTTACCTGGGCACGCCATGATCTCGACAAAGTGGTACGGGCACTTATTGCGCTTAACCTTCATCAAGACCGTTTGAATGTTTCGGAAGCCATATGCAAGCGCGAACCGAAGCACTTCGACCCCACCGACATGGAGCGAAACTTCTTTGAAGTCGGCATTGCGTCCCTGTACGTAGGGAAGTTGATCGGGGCAATCCACATTGAACAGCTCCTTCGCGGCATATCGAAAAATATGCTCGAGGTAGCCACCGCTGCCAATGTCGCCAGTCACGGCCGCCGTACTGCTCAACACGTGGCTTCCGTCCCTCGCCAAGCCGCTCCACATGATCTCGTCGCTTGTGAGGGTGGCTTCGGGGAGCTCTACCAGGTCGATGCCTTGAAGCATTTCCAGCAACTCGGACGCTGCGAGCACGCAGTCGACGTCGCGGGTGTCCGTGGCCGCATCCAAAAAGTTGTTTCGAGACGCTTCGAGCTTCTTGTCGTAACATGGCATGACCGTGCAGTGGTACACGGGCATATGCTGGCCGGCCGAGATCAGCCGCTTCACCAGCGTCCCATTGATTTGCTGCGGGCTCTTGGTAGTACTGATGTACGGCAGGGCATTGGGATTTGATTTCTCGGCATAGCAGATCCACCCCGGGCACGACGACGTGAGCATGGGCAACGCAACATGCGACGGCGGTTCGTCTGTGGCGGCGGCGTCGTAGTAGTCTGTCTGTGTGGAGGAAACTGGGCGCGACGACGGGGGACGGGTCCATGGAAGTGTTTGTCGATTGCGGTACCGAGCGACAAATTCCGCACGGGCTTCCAGCAGCGCGAGGTCGTCAGCGCATGCCGCGTCGAGCACGACATGGACCCCGAGTTGACGGAAGTACGTCACCAGTTTGCGGTGACAAGCGGCGAGGGGCAGGTTAAAATGGGCTGCAACAGACGCACGGGCCTGAGGAGATAGCGTCACGACGAATTGCCAGTCGTGGCGATGGGTTTCCAGCGCTGTGAGGAATTCCGCAGCGCTCTGTTGAGAAATGAGGATGGATTCGGCGGACGTGACGCAGCCACTGCAAGCCAGGCAGTCATTGAGCGACACCATCGCGGTATCTTGGTTCGTGCTTCGGATGAGATCGGGCTCAATGGCGACTTGATGGATGCCGCTGTATATGTCACTGTCCATGTTCACGTGAGCGGGTGCTTTGGACTTGTCCTTGTTCGTGAGGAAAAGTGGGTTCACGCATGCTTGTGAAGGCGCGATAAAGTCATCGAGATCTCCGAGAAACACAGATGCCTACGGAGTGACTTGCATGAGCACGAGCCTTCCTCCGTTGTGCCCACCATCGTTGCCGCGTTGTGTCAGTGCAAACGGAATGGTCTGCGATGGGATTGGTGGCAAATGTGAACATAGGATTGGTTATATTACACCCAATCAATATAGTTTTAGTTGAATTAGCACTTTTCATTGGATCTATTGCAACCAATAAAAAGCTACAGAGTTTCACCGAACAATCAACCTTACAGTTAAGTCGTCGAGTGGACTTGGACCCACTTGCGGATGTGGTCGCGCTGTACCTCGCGCGCCATCCGCAGTGCGGGCGGGTCCAACGGGTTGCTAAACATGAGATCTACATGATGAGCTCCTTCTGCAATCTTCAATGCGATCACGGTGTCGGACAAGGACGTCAGGATGCCAGTGGGAGCCCACGGATCGTACTCTCCATTGGTGAACACAATGTTGCTGGACGTGGCGAACGCTTCAACGCCGCCATACACGATGGATGGCCAAAATGGACGCATTTTGACGCCCCATTTCTCTTGGCACTGTCGCTCGTCCTCGGTTTGGTTGTGCAAAGCTCGCCAAAACATGTCGTTGTCCCCTCCTGTTGCGTCAAGTGGGGTATACATGTCTGCACAGTTCAGATAGTCCCAGAAGTCATCCTCATCGTCGTCGCCGTTGGAAGCGATTGAGTGGCACTTGACTGCTCCTGTCGAATTGTAGTAGACGTTCACACTGGCAAGCATGGCCTGAAGGAGCTTTGTCGTGTCCTCCAGGTTGTCCGCCAAGAGCGAACAAGCTTCCCGCATGGGGAACGCTGGTAGCAAGCGCTCTCCGTTCGTCATGTAGCTCGAGGGATACGGGTAGTTTCCCATGGCTAGCGTATCATAGGCATCCTTCAGCCAGTCGGTCAATGCGGCCACGTCGTCGGGGCTTTGGAGGGGCTGACACAGCTGAAATACACTGGCCAATTTCGTGCGCCCTTCGTGTGAATCACCCAAGCCAAATACCAATGGCCACACGCGCTTGATGTTGGGAGCGCACCGCGGCGCCGACCCTGCCGCGGGACTTGCATCGTACGTGACGACTCTGGAGAAACTCTCCATGTCCATGGGTGGATTGAATCCGAGGAAGCTCAACATCGGCGCGGACGACGCAATCGCTCCTTGCACCAAGTGGGGGTACTTCAACCGCATCCAAGCGGCGAGCATGCCTCCATACGATCCTCCAAACGCAATGACGCGCGTCAAAGTGTTCGCACGCAGGTGGTTGAGGAGGACGGCGTTGTCAGCCAAAGCTTGCTGAGACGAGCAATGGGCAGCATACTCATGTCGCGACTGATTTGCACGTTGAGGGGGCAAGGATTGACCAAAGTAACGATGTTCCGCAAACACGAGTCGCGCACCAAACGTGGGCGCAGATTCCCACATCAGTCCGGTATGGTTCAAATAGAGCTCGACGTTGCCTTCGTTGCCAGTGTAGAAAAAGATAGGAGGGTTTGCATCAAGTGCGGCGAATTCATCGCACACAAAGTACCGCTGGGAGAACAAGTCGGACGAGGCGTCGAAGTGGTCCAACGGCTGGAGAATGAAGTGTTCTTCACAGCGTTGACGAAGGTCGCCTCCGAATGCAACTCGTTTCGACAGCGATGCCAGCGGCCTGGATCGATCGATCGAGTGGAAGACGAACGTCAACGAGACCAGCGTGATCACAATGACGTGGGTGGCATATTTTCGCATTTTTGAGGCACCCAACCATGGGGTTCGCACAGGAAGTAGCGGCGCACTCGGGTGGGTTGCGCCGTCCACGCCAGCCATCTTGCTCAAGCGACCGAAAATCGAACTTTGCAGCAGGTGTTAATCTTCAACTTAATTATCAAAAATGATTGGCTGATTAAACTGAATTTTAACGATTTAATTGGACATAGTTTTATGCCACGCTTGATATTTCACCAACCAAATTTGTGAAAAGTCCATAGAGATTCGTGCTCCATGGCAAGCAGACTGACGTCGAAGCGCAAAGATGCCGTCGCGCTCCTTGTTCTTATCATACTCGGCGTGTGCGACAGTAAGTTGTGATTATCGGCATCAAGTACACAGTCTGACCTGGCAGACAGGTACTACCCACAGCTCTTCATGCCCCAGCACAGCTTGCGAACCTCAGGGACATGCGTGCAGCAATACGACGAGTTCGAGCATTCCTCGCACAAATCTGTTCAATACAAAGTTGTAGTTCATCCATTTGACGTCCGCAGTGGGAACCAGGTCCCTCAAGTTGCGCTGAGTGGAATACCTCATGCGCGATTCCACCTGGCGACGCCAATGCACGTTGCGGCATTTCGTGGTCGCTCGGTGTGACTCCTTGAGTTGATGCACGCTGCTCACCTGAAACATAGGATGCGATTCAATGGCTGCTGGAAGAAGGGCACGATATCAACGCAAGAAACGGTTATGGCGCCACTCCTTTGCACATGGCGGCTTCGTCAGAAGAAGGTGAGGTCGTGATGTCGCTCCTGGTGTCCAATGGGGCAAACGTCGATGCTGTCGACGCCTCTGGGTCCACTCCTTTACACATATGCGCTCGGTCAAGTCGTATCCATGGAGCCGCCATCCTTTTGACCCAGGGCAATGCAAACATACATGCAGTAAACGCTCAAGTTGGTATTCCTCGGATGGAAATCAAGTCTGCCTTGCTCAATATTTGCCGTAGCTGGACACTCCTCTGCACTTGGCACCTTCGAATTCGATCATGGAGTCTCTGCTCTTGGGATATGTGAGCTTTCCTTCTGAAAGCACCGTTGATTCCGAAATGTAGGGAGCGGATCCGACCTTTCGGAATGCTCAAGGCCACCTAGCGAGGGATTCGTGCGACAGCATCTGAAAACAATACCAAACCAACGAAAAATCCACATGATGCGTTTGAAAGCTGTGGTCATATAGCTGCAAGAGTTTCTCAAAGTCGTCAAGCAGCCCACCTCTATTTTCAAACCAGCGCATCCACAACGGCACACACTACAGACTGTACGTCCAACAAATTGGCAACTGCCGAAGAACACAGGTGGATATACCCGTGCCTGATCGAATGCCCACGCGGATGGATCCACATCACGGCGAAGTCGTATCCTGCGCTAACTTCGTGCATCCCTTCGTACGTTTTCCGCTTCGTCCTCCCGTGAAACTCATCATACAGCGGCGGCGGCAACGTCCATTCATATTATGCTTTTCAGAACATTTAGACAGTAGTCACAAACCGCAGCCAGTATCGCGAGTTGAATGATCTCGTTAAATTGCGTGTGAATAACGCCATGTTGCTTACGGCTTA